CAAACCAATGAATCTTATTAAAATGTTTTAGTTTATTAATAATAACATACGTCGCAAATTTGCAGAAATGCAATTTTGAAAGTATGCGGTTTTTTATTGTAGCCTCCGACGTGGAGAAATGGGTGGAGTGAATCTTTGGCTGATGAAGCTTGCAGAACATTTATTCAGAATCAGAACTTTTTGAAAAAGTGTGAAGAGGTGTTAGAGGCAACAGCCAATGACAATGAAGAAGGCGTTCAATCCTGTATCAGCGATATCAAGGTACTCCATGTGAACACCATTGTTGATATCTTAATATTATAAATCGTGGTGCACTCTTTGTCACAATGTTAGATCTAAGTTGTTATTGTTATGGCTACTTCGCAGTTATACCGGCATCATAGACCAAAGGAACACTTTACGTGCACACTAAGACTCGTAAGTATCAAGGAACACTGTATTTTTACACTAGAATACAAACTGTGTAGTTTGGCCAAGGGAAGAGGCAAATATCTATTGTTTTTGCATGATCCATCAAAGATCAAGGTCAATCTTACTTCAAAGTAGAACGTTTCCCATTCGAAACAAAATTCGAACAAATGATTCTACTCAGCTAAGGAGTCAAGGAGAGTCATATTTAATTATAATATTGTTTGTCAAATGTCAAGGTCGATGCTACTATAACAGAATTTTCTGCAAACTTGCATATAGCACAAAGCTTCTTATTCAAAATGCAATGGATTGCTTTTCACAAGCACAGCCCTTCATTACAAAAATTATTTTATGTAACAATATTGCTCGAGGAGTTTTCTTTCCTTGTCGGCTTTCTAGTTTAAATGTATTGGAACTTTCAAAATATGATAAATTCATATTCACAATAATATTCGACAATAACAACAGTTTAAAAGAAACAACCTTTTAGGAATCAAAACATTGCAAAACTTAGCTTCTAGGCTTTGAACTTCAAATATGTACATCCGCAGTAGGTAGTAAAAGAGGAAAACAAATTATTCATACATATATGAGATATGTGTTATACAGATGTATAATAAACTGAACTGTTCCAGCTAATGGGAAACACAGAGTTTATGCAGTCTACAGCTGATAATCTGGCCAGAGGTTGTCGAATGACAGCACTTAAGCTAGAAAATCTCACTCAGACAACAGCTGCTGATGGTACAGCAGGTCAGACAGTGTTGGACGTTATGTTGGATCTCGACTGTAGCAATAACTGTTCTGGAAACGGAATATGTCAACAAGGTCAGTCTTGTATATAAACACATACTGATCTATGTTAGCTATGTGTACCTTGTATATTCATTAATATATGTGTGTTTATCATCTTATGACTAAATTCAGAATAGCTCATGTGCCATTTATACCAGTAAGAAGCGAAAATTAAAAACGTAAAAGTACAACCACCTACAAGCATTCCGATAAACAACATACCCATCATATAAAACAGGTTACTCTTTATTTAACCTTCTAGTTGAACAGCTTTTGGCGATAACTAGCTGAAAATCAACCGACCAAATGAACTAATTTACCCTAAATGTTGAGCCGCCCTGTAAAATAATGATATCCTAATTCTTATAATAATTGCTACATTGATATTAAATATTCCTCTGCTTCTCGTTTCCGGCTACGTCACGACGGCATGCACTGTGACGTTGACATTGTTGTGGTTCAATTATCTTATTGCCTATTTGCTATATTCCAGGAAAATGTCAGTGTTTTGGTGACTATGAGGGAGGTGATTGTTCCGACAAACCGACATTGCCTCCCGTTGTTTCGTCAAGGACAAACCCAGGACTGTGTAAACGGGATGTGTACGCTTGTAACACCTTCCATATCTCAGGATCAAACTTTGCACAAGACAATATGACGTGCAGGGCGGTCCATTTTACGGTGAGATATATATATACTCATATATTTGTTTCACAATAAACTCACAAATATTGACGAAGGTTATGTCTCAGATGTGCAGTTTTACATTAGAATATCTTTGCAAACTGGATGAGCATCTGTTTGATAGTTATGCACCCGTGCTCTCAACATCTATCTGATAGCAACTGTAAGAATGAAAACAACAGAACTATGTTGAAAACGACAGAACTAGGTAATTTGATAGCCGGGGAATATATCAAAGGTTAATAATATGATTTAATCACGTCATTAATAAGGCATACAATTTATCAATGCTATTTTGTCTTCTTTAAACCTTGATTTACTGCGAAAGAAGACAAAAGAGTGTCAGTAATATATTTGTATATCAATAAATTACTTTGTGAGATTAACATTTACAAATTATCAGATCAACACAATTCATCGATACAGCCAAGTGATTATCTTCAACTGGCAATCGTTAACGCAAATATCTTGTCATAAATGCAAATACAAATAATTCGTGATACATCACATTGCTAGTAGTTAAGTTTCAGAGAGAATAGAATCCACAAAGAAAATGTGTAAATCGACAAAATTGTTGATTTTTTTGAGGACGAATACATCAACAGAGTATCGATATACCAGTTGGGAATAACAAAGGAAACACTCTTTTCTTCTGGGATTGTGTTTTGAGTTGTGGAGCCGAATTTCTGCAATGGTTTACAAGAAAAGGGTTACCCTTCGTATCTGATAATAACATTTCATATCAAGATATGTTGATAACGATTTACCGTTGAAAAGCAAGTATTTCCAGATCAATCTTCATCATATTAGTCCTACAGAATTCAAGATATTATTCTGAACTCCATGTTCCCACCTTCATGTATTAATATTACTGTATAATAGATATTTATAGGTCATGCGGGTTCGTGCTGCATATTATAAGTTTGAGGCCCGGATAATTCACGAGTTAAAATTGTTTTCCTTCGTAAGTTAGATTTGTGCTTCATCCCAAAATATGAGCGCAATGTATTAAATACACAAGTATATTTGTTCATCCAGCAGTTAGGATATTGAGTACCCGTCGCAGCTGTACTGGGTTTAATTTACTTATTTATATATCTGTGGCAGGGTCAATTTTTACAATAAGGAATTATCTTTTCTCTTCTATGTGATGATAATGAAGACGTCATAGGCTTTTACTGTTTTGTTTCGTATATTTGAGATTAGATCAAAGACAGCGGTTACAATTTGACTTCAGCAAATGATACTTTCCCAGCCAAGTCCATAGGGGGCGGGTTCGGCTGTACTTGTACACTCAGCGACACATTGAGGAGGAGAAAGCGTTCTACAGACCAGGATGACTACCAGGACAGGACAAAGCGTTCCACAGAACCTGTAGTGGCAGAGGGATTTTTTCTGAGTGTGTCTAATGATGGAGTCGCGTTCAGTGCTGATATAGTCGTCATTATTTTCGACTCCTGGTGTCAGAATTGTAATACAACAACTATCTCGTGCGTCGAATTCGTAAGTAGTATTTAATTTAGTTTGAGGTATTTTGTATGGAATCGCTTTCTTATATATTTGACGGTTTGACAAAGCACATATTTTAAAATGTAAAAAAACCCTTTTGGGTCACGGCAACGAACATTTGATTTATAGAAGAAATAATTCGAGAAAAAATTGGATTAACGACGAATTGGTATTTCTAATTTTGTATTTCATTTCATTTTGATTACACCACGAATGCTCCAATTTTTAATACATTTGCAAGTTGCAATCTTTAGTGATACATTTTTCCCAATCGTCAGAAATAGAATATTTACTTATTATAGATGGAAAAAATGGTATTTCAGCTGTCCTTCGATCTGAATTCAGTAATGTTTACAGGAATCTCTGCCTATTTAAACATGAACATTTATTTAATAATTCCATTGATAACTTCTCCGTTAGGGAATATGTGCTTTGTATTAACATCATTGAAAGTTCGTCTTACTCCTGAACTGTTCTCTAGTCATATCAAAATAAATAGATAAACTAATATATTATTTTCTGTAAATATAGGTCAAATTTATGTAGAATGAATGCATGTGCCTGAAAAAGTTATATGATACTTTTAAGTTCAACTCATTATCGTTTTCAGACTTCTTGTATTACAACGACGCCCTTACCAACAACAACTACTACGTTGCCTTCAACAAATGCCACAACACCAACGGAAACCACTACTGAGCCTACCACAACCACAACTGAGACTACTACAACCACAACTGAGCCAACTACAACCACAACTGTGCCAACCACAACCACAACTGAGCCCACAGAAACAACCACAACTGAGCCGACTACAACCACCACAATTGAGCCGACTACAACCACAACTGTGCCAACCCCAATCACAACGGAGCCGACTACAACCACCACAACTGAGCCAACTACAACAACAACTGATCCCACAACTACAACCACAACTGAGCCCCCAACTACAACCACAACTGAGCCCACAACTACAACCACAACTGAGCCAACAACAACCACAACTGAGTCGACTACAACCACCACAATTGAGCCGACTACACCCACAACTGTGCCAACCACAACCACAACTGAGCCGACTACAACAACCACAACTGAGCCAACTACGACAACAACTGAGCCAACTACAACAACAACTGAGCCAACTATAACAACAACTGAGCCCACAACTACAACCACAACGGAGCCGACTTCAACCACAACTGAGCCAACTACAACCACACCTGTGCCAACCACAACCACAACTGAGCCGACTACAACCACAACTGAGCCGACTACAACCACAACTGAGCCCACAACTACAACCACAACTGAGCCCACAACTACAACCACAACTGAGCCGACTTCAACCACAACTGAGCCAACTACAACCACAACTGAGCCCACAACAACGACCACAACTGAGCCCACAACCACCACAACTGAGCCAACAACAACCACAACTGAGCCGACTACAACCACAACTGAGCCCACAACTACAACCACAACTGAGCCGACTACAACTACAACTGAGCCGACTACAACCACAACTGAGCCTACAACAACAACCACAATTGAGCCGACTACAACCACAACTGAGCCGACAACAACCACAACTGAGCCTACAACTACAACAACTACTGAGCCAACAACAACCACAACAGAGCCAACCACAACCACAACTGAGCCTACAACAAATACTGAGCCATCTACAACCACACATGAGCCTACTACAACCACAACTGAGCTAACAACATCTTCTACTGGCGGAGGTATGTAATAAACCTTGCTTTCAATGATTAATATAACAGTTGTTGGTTTAAACGTTACAAAAATATCTTTTCACGACATATTTCTTAATTCGTTTAAGTCATGTCTGAGGCTAGCGTCATCTGTAGCGGTCATAACCTCTTTATATTAGGATCTCTTCAGAAGTGATTTGAATATAAAGGATTCAGACCCAAGACCTACAACTTTAAGTCCTTAGAAATTGACTCCCTTGGTAACGACCCGGATAGGCATTATGGTAAGCAAAAGATAAACTACTCACACCCGCACCTATAATCAAACAGTTCAAGCCGTCTGCTTGGAAGTTCAGAAGCCTCTGTTCTAATTATCACAATTGATATAAGCTGTTTACACTCACCAGAAAAAAGGCAATTTTCTGCAGACCGGTATATTGTTGGTAAACACTGACTCGGCCACTGCCCATTTTCTATTTGTCAGTTAACAGTGATGTAGAGAGTAACTGGCTCATAGGCAATATCCATATTGTTAGTTTATTACATGGAAATAAATAGCGACTCTGTTGCTTTGTCGAACATCATGAATTAACATTTACTTACAATGACATAGACCCAAGATGACCGGCATTATTTTCATTGATTTTAAGGGAGTGGCCATGACTTGTGTAATAGTCGGTGAGACAAACGGATAGATTTCCTATCCATTTTTTTAAATTGGCATCTATTATGTTTTTCTCAAAAGGTTTTCCTTAGTTTATTTTGTTGTATTTCGCACGGATTTTGAGTGTGGAATTTTTTTTTGTACACAATGTGCTTAATACCTTTTCAACTTTTAAGTTTTGATTTTGTCCTTCTGTGTTAACAATATTGTGCATTTTGCATCTAATTTGAGTTTGGACTCCTCTGTCCTTATATGTTGACATTGTCTTACATTTATTGTTTCACCTTGACATTATTGTTCATCTTGCGTTTAATTTGAGTTTTGACTCTGTCCTTGTTTCTTGTTACTCGAAAATATGGTACACTTTGTATACATTGATTTCAAGCTTGAATTATATTCTCGTATTAGGACAATGGTACAATTTGTATCGAATGTAAGTTTTTATTTTGTCCTTATGTGTTATCAATGTGGTAATTGTTTATTTTAATTCAACCTCACAAATGTGAACGCAGTCAACGCATTGAGGCTGTTGGTGTTTCAATTCGAAATAATGTTTGAAGTTACCTCAATCTTTGATAGCTCTCAAAATGTCCACCACACTTGTCTGAAATTAGTATTTGAATTGAAGTAAACACCCCATAACAATATATCTGTACCCATATGCTTGCTATTCCTATCTTTCCTATCTACCTTCTTGATTCTTAGGCATCCGTCCTCAAATGACCCTGGTGAGGACGTTAAACCCCAAACAAATAAATGATTGCCACACTTTTTCAGACTGGTTCTGTTTTGATATGCTATAGACATTTAACTCTATGATATCTGTGTTGTATAAAGACCAGCTACACTATTTTGAAATAAGTAATGTTACGATCTAAATCAGTACTTTCGATCTGATTTAACCTTCATCCGGTCATTGGTCAGAGTTTATGTCATAAGGCATAACGGTAAGTACGCACACAATAAAGAGTGAAACGTAAATATATTCTACATTGAAGTGATACACGTGCTCTGAAAAACAATTAAATATCTTCATTTTATATGTCCTTTGAAGGTAATTGGAACACTGGAGTAATAGTCAGCGCGGTCATTCTGGTATTGCTGTGGTGTTGGTGCTGACCAAATTCGTCCTAACTTAAACGAAATCGTACGTATATGTACAACACACATGAATGAAATCAAAGAACAAAACGTGAAATATGGGATACTAGCTTAGTGGAGTCTGTTTATTACAAATCATTTTAATATTGATATCCTAAGTAATATTTTTATTAATCGAAGAATAGAAGAATTGAAACAAAAATGAGTCTCGAATATTTGTTTTTATGAAAATCGAGTTTTGATTTGGTTTTAGTGTTTCGATCTTAAACCAGATGTTACGCTTGCTTGAGAAAATGAGAATAGTATAAAACATTTATTATGTGTGTCCCTGATTACTTTGAAACTTGTATTCTGGTTGAGTAAACTTCATCAAATTTCATTCTTTAGGTGAAGGTATATCATGCACTGTCAAAAGGTTAGAGTGATCTATTTGATATTTATCAGCATGAGCATCAAACAAAATCAGTTTCCGGCCGTAAATTCAACTATTCTGAATTTCATGAAATTCTATATACATTGTAATAGGAAATGTTGGGGTATTGTAGCACGATGTCAACCAATTAATAAGTGCAAGCTCTGGTTAAAGATTGATACCAGGTCATGAGTTGCATCAGTGCGAGCCATAACGCAACAAAGTGCATCAAAATAAACGTCAACAAAAAGGTCTTTATAATAATAGAACACTTATAAATCGATAATCTATTTCTAAACCAATTTTGTTTCAGTGCCGCGGCAAAAAAGGAGAAGCAATATTCAGATACACGGGAGGTTGAGGATAACTACTACAGGCGATACACCTATTGGGAGCATAGCAGAGGTTATCCGAGCTTCGGACGTTCCTCTGGATCCAGTCGTATACAGACCCGTTTTTATTAATGACTACAGCTGTGTGATAACTTTGAGATTTGGTTGGCTAGCTTTATTTGACTTTTTGTAGTACATGTGCTTTAAAAGAGGAAACTACGTGATGCATAAATACTAAGTTTTTGTCGCATTGTGTTAATAAGCGCGAAAATATTCACACGCGAATAAGCATTGAAATATGTTTCATATTCTTTTTAGATGAAATAAATATATTTCAGGATTGCTGCAAATGCGAAAATTTCAATACCACGATCGCTTTGAAGAGTCACCAAGGAAACATTTGCAAAGCAAACATGTACACTGTAACAGTATTTGGAGTTTAAACTCAACATAATTAAGAAATCCCTTTGTTTCTATAAACGTTATTTTATGTTGTACATATTAGTTTTTGAATCGCATCGTTCTATAACATGTCAATAACATAAAGAGTGCACATACACTCTGTTTATCATTGAAAGTTTCAAATCATAATTGTTATCCCGCATTGCTTATGTTCGTACGTTCATATTATTAATAACAAATTGGAATAATAAGATACATTTCCAATAAAGCGCTTCGTTGAATACAACAATTCAGCTTTTCGTTGAATAGAACAATTCAGCGTTTCATTGAATATAACAATTCAGGGCTGCGCTTAATTTCGGCGTTTTTTAATAGATTTAAAAACCCCAATGCTTATACGAACAACGAACATTGCAACTTGAAGATGTTGTTTGCCAATTTGTTGTCACTAAAATATCCAATGATTGACTATATCTACTAAGCACTTTGCCAAAGGTATAGCGACATTCTACGCATTTTATCAAATGCTCACATTTATATCAAGTTCCATATCTATAAATTTCATTATATATTTGCATGTTAATATTGATAATACATTAGATATGCACTGACAGTGCAATGCATATATTTTTCCCGTGTGGAGAAGTAGCGAGGAGTTTCACGGTCTGGTTTCGTTTGTCTGTTCACCGAAGTAGATGCATTTTAGGAGTCTTCAGCCTCACCCTCTATGGTGAGGTTTGGGTGAGGATGGTGAGGCATTATAGTAATGATAGAAGAAGGAGGGTGAGGATGGTGAGGCTTTAAAGTACTGATAGATGAAGGAGGGTGAGGTTAGTCATGCTTGTGAGGCATTATATTGAAGACAGATTAAGGAGGGTGAGGTCAAGTAGGATAACGTACCTGAACTGACAAGGTCAAAGGTTAAAGCTATTAGACAGATGTTTTTACTTAACATGTTCATTCATCCGGAAAATCCTCATACAAAGACCATATTCGAGTGAATGTCATAATCAAGTTTAGAACACTTTCTAAGGTGTTTTGTATAGAGAAAAATATGTTTCTATGTTATCTTATGTAGGGACCTGCCTGTTTTACAAATAAGACGCTACCTAGACAACAGTCTGTGTGTAAAGTCCACGATCCTTTATGTGACATTTAAATAAAGGGACTCTCTTGCAGTTTTCATTATCATCTATAGCACCCTGTACTGATTAGTAGCAGATTATATATGTATTTCTATATAAGTGACAACCTCGAGTCTACAATTTGTTCACATCCAATTAGACAACTATCAATCCAGATAATCACTGCCAGTCTAAACGTTTTCTTCGATATGAAAAAGTGTAGTAAAGCAAGATATTATGTGAATAACCACACCAACTCTTCAGATATGAATAACAGCCATTTATTTGTTAATCATGCATTATTTCGCTGTAACATGAACATCGTAAGGCCTACACGTTGTATGCATTTCAAAACATCTGATCTATAGCATAATTTAAATGACCATACTAGTTTTCAGATATAAATAATCTCTTTCTTTAATTCATGTAATTTCTAATATAAAAGAGGTATTGTGGTGTACGCATTCCACAATTTGTTATATTCTAGCATTATCTTTTATTTAATAGCATATAATCAAATAAATGTTTCTAGTTTATCACATAATGGTCACATAAATAATTAATTGCTGACCAAGTGTCAGAATAAGTGACCTAACACTGACCAATCAGCAACGCTAGAGGTGAAGTGTCTCCCTCAAAACAGGAGAATAAAACTAGTTTGCTGAATCATGTACTTTAATTAATCTCGTGTAAGGTTGTTCTTATTTGTCAGGTGAAATAGAGAACATTCATTCAATTGAAATATAAATAGCATCACGGAGTACAATTTCTAGTGATTAATATGTTTGATAAAGGAAATGTACATCGATTTTGTGAAAAACCTGAGGATGAAATTGATTACAAATTAACTATAGAAACTCCAGAGAGTGAAAATAAAGTACAAGTTGAATTATCATTCAACAGAAAAACGCAGAGGTTAAACATATGCACAAAAATATTTTGGAGCCAGTGCAGATAATTGATCCCGAACCGAGAGAGTTTATAGACTTGGAAACGGTTGAAGTTAAAAGCATGATTTGATGAACCAAAATACAGTGTTTGTTGCCTTAATTAACTTATGCACCATTACCGCAATGTTTCTTAAAAGACAATCAAATTCAAAACGAAGATCTTTGAGTTTTTTGTTGTTGTACATAAACACATATATATAAACATACGCATGACCATACTAGTTATATATATATATATAATCTTCTAACAACTTTCTGCATCGTTTATTATAAATAATACAAAGTCTCATTTTTAATAAGAAAACTTTAAATCATTGAATGAAATTAAACCATTGTTAAAATATTTAGTTATTTAAAATATCAAAAATATAACATGAATTCTTCTTAACTCTCGACTTTGTTGTGTTCAATCAGATCCCGTTTAATTAATATTATTTCAAGGTAAAAATGAGGCTTTGCTTTATCTGATGTACAATTCATATAGATACATTGAAAACATGTAATCGGTTGTTGTAATAATTTTAGAGTTATGTTTTGCAATACAAGACATAAAGCTACATGTATGTCTACTATTAATGTGACGTAAACTTTACTACTTCATCATTGCTTTATAGAAATTATAACTAAATAAATACATTGTAAAAGGAATACATAAAGTGATATGAGGCTTTTTTCCTGATGTACAATACATAGAGATACATAGTTATTGAAACGTATAATGAACTATGACATAATTTTATTGGTTAAATTTCGAACTAATTGCAGTAGTTTTGTACATGATAAATAATTTCTAACATTTACAAAATATCTATTATTAAAGTCGTGTAAGCTTTACAACACCGTCTTTGTTTTGTAATGGCCGAAGGCATAACTATCGCAAAAGTTTGGAAGAATCCAGCGCTTGTCGTCAAAAGCACATAACCCAGATTTGTTGATGTTGTACACGTACATGTATACATGTGTTTTCCAAAGTAAAAGTTTGCGGGACGGCTGTTGAAAACTAAACATTTTAGCGCGGAGTCCTACAAATTCTGCGATAGGCTTGCCTGCGGTTTCGTCTTTAAAAAGTCCAGGTATATTTTTTTGTTGGTCGAATCGTAACAGAAGTGTTCTATTGGATAATCAGACAAGTCAAATAGGTGTCTATCTTGCAACATATTCGCATAGATATCGTCACAAAACACGTGTCCAAAAACTGTCAGTGTCAGTGAATAATAACTTTATTCCGTCTCCATATTTCGGTTTGAGATATTTGTAGTAAAACTCGGACATGATACATTTTGATAAATCTAAGATTGCTTGACCAACATACACGGGTTTGTTAAAAATTAACTTTACTTTGACGTTTTCTTCACCCGTCAACTCCTCATTGAAAATGGCAAATCTTTGAAAAGAAGGTTTTGCGCAATACTTTTTTAGTTTTTGTTGTCATATGGGCAAGTTTAAAATCTACCCTGTTACGGACGTTCTCCGTGGTTTTGCCAAATACAGAGTTGTTAATCAGTTTTAAAAAATCCTTCTGGAAATCGTTTGTTACTATTTTGCGCCATCGAGTATTGGCCTCTATGTATTTCTTCGACCATGGAACTTTTGTAACTGTCAGGCCTAGATCTAGATAGAGTTGTAAGTTTCTATAGTGACATATGTAATTTGTTTTGTTGTCACGGTTTGGGATCAACTTTTCTGTTTTTAAGCGGCCATCTAGCATCGAATCCGTATGCTTATCGCTCGGATAGCTCTCTCCACAGTGCTTTGCTTGTGGGAGATAACTCTTCGTCCGAGACAATTGTACGTTCGGGAGCCAAAGGGTAATCGCTCATTAAATCGTGATCTTTATCGTTCACTCCTAGATCGACTTCGAGGGTATATCCTACGTCGCCGTCTTTAGGTATTGTCGACGTCTTCTACCCAACGAAAATCGCCTACTGGTAATGGTTCTGCCATGGCCTTTCCATATAGATTGTTGCAATCTGTATACATGATATACTAGTCGGGATGGGAGGGATCATCAGATTCGGGGATGTAGGGACTGTTGGCTTTTGCGTACTTATTAGAAACCATCGAAATACCACCGCGAACTTCGTTTTCAAAGAACAGTGAGTCTGTGAGTAATTCTAAGCAGACATCCGCCATATGCAAGGCTGGCTACCTACCATGCCAGTCCGGGGGCGGTGTAAAAGTGGGGCGGCTTAGTGCCGAAATTTGACAAAATCATGCAAATGATGATACAAGCATAGGATTTGACACATACAATCTTTAGGGTGTACTTTAGCATATTAGAGGGGTAGCCAACATATTTTTGTTTTTTTTCACGGCGGCCATCTTGAATTTATAATTGACATCATTTTGCTCAAAAGTGGAGATTGAAAACAGATCCACACATTTTTTAACGAGATATAGGTGATGATAACTATTTGAAACACAACAAAATGACCTGAAAATATGTTAAACAGACAGGAATTGTAAAATTAAATCACCACTTCCGGTAAGGGTGGAAAAAGTTCATACAATCGAGTAAAATAATGGGGGTAAAGATATGAGATAAAAATTTCCGTTTGATATATAGGTAATTATAGGTAAAGCTATGCAGGAAGGTCGAATGATGTATTATTCTACCATATTTTCTGATGTATTTCGTTCTAACAGCTACAGGAACACAATGTTGTACAGGTCAAACCAGCTTTATAACACTTGCATCTACCAGAACAAGTTTTCTTGCATCCACATTTGTGTAACTCCTGGCACGATGCTGCAATGGCTGCTAATTGTGTCCAATTGGGAATCCACAACTCATCTGCTGTCTCCTTAACCCATCCCCAATCGCCCGGATTATGTAGATGTTGTTCATGTGTGACTGCCTGTTCCCATACATGGCCACCTTGATATGCAGCTCGTTTGGTGTGTTCAAGCAGTGCAGCTCTGGTGGGCGGAATTGTGTCATACTGTCTTTGTTTGTGTGCAAACAATTCAAGCCTGCATTAATTGATATCAAATGTTGTAGTTCTGTCGTACATGTACATAACTACAACAAATGCCTCTATCAACTCCATATCAGCTTTACTGACCTATGCAGATTTCTTACTCAATCGCCCAAACACCTCGATTACGTCATCAAGTATGTCCCTCGTCTGCCATGCCGACTTCTTTCCCTTTCCATGAAAAGCGGAGACAGTATCACATCCGGTGAAAGCATGAAAAATGGCAAAGCCGCTTATTTAGGACCAAGAGCATGATCAATTTCGTGAATCGGAAGCCATCGCAGGTATGTTTCTTTTCCAAATGCAACCCAAAGTTTTTGGGCTTGGGTTGTGGTCTATGTTGTCGACCGCAGCTGTGGTGAACACTTTGTCCATTAATAAAGGAGGACAAACCACACCCTCATTCAAATAACGTTCAACTACAGCTTCACCTAGTTTAGTTGATATTTCCAGTACCCGATCATAAGAGATGCATATCCCATGTTGAAATAATGTATCTATAAGCTGTCTCTTCCTGGTTTTTGCAAAGAGTAATAGTCCAAGATACACACAAAATGGTGTCTTACGATCAGCTGAATGTCTGTGTTGTACAGGAACTTTCTGGGTGTTTGGATGGTAATTAAACATTAATAGTTGGGCCAGAGCTAAGTCGGACTTTGTAGAAACGTTGTCTAACCGCGATTTAATATCAGGTCCATGCTCTATCATTTTCACCAACTGTTTCAAAGGAGGTGGTATGCTGTCATCGATATCTTCAGAGACCAAGGATCCAGAAAATGCTGTCTTCTTAGTATGGTGGCATTGTAATCACAAGCAAACGCGATAGCTGGTCATTATATCTTTTTCAAACATCAAAAGGACATCTCTGCCTTTTGTGTGTGCTTCTAGTGCTGGCATCTTCTGCAAAAGCTTGTCCTTCAGGCGCGTAGAATTTACCTGTGCAAAAGAAGAACCAAGTTGTGTCAATCTTTTCTGAAACTGAGCGGGGTAGGTACGTATTAAGAACCTGATAGAGGTGAGTAGTCTACGATACTTACGTTCAATTTCAGTATTGTTTTTAAAATCCAACTAGATCCTTTATGGATATATTCCTCGAATGAGGCAAACATTTTCGGATATACACTCCTTATATTTGCAGACCCGTTAAGACTGCTTTCGTCCGAAAACTGATGTGTACCATTTTGCTGTTGTCCGCTACTTTCCTGGTTTCTTTTAGGTTATTCCGGCAGCGACCGCGGCGTCTCCACATCCGGCGGTTCCACATTCGGCAACGACTGCAGCGGTTTCGCGTCAAGCGGTGATTGAGCGTGCTCCTGCAAAACTTTCCACGCATATGCCACTATGTACGTACACATTTTGTTTCGTCTTTGATGTTCTTGGGTAGGGCTATATCCACTAAAGCAACTTTCCAAATTCCATCGAGATTTAACAGAGATTGGAAATGTGCTCGAAAATGTACGGTATTGTTTTTTGGAAAATATGTTTAACTCTTATCACTGTGAATAACCACATAGTGTGGCATCTTAGGCTCTCGTGACATCTTTGATATCCCTCTCTGCAATCCATTTGTTATATCTTGAAGGCCAGCCTTCAAATTTTACAAGCCATTCAATCTGCCCTCCTCTTTTACGTTTTTTCAACTTTTCTTCGATGAACCATAGCGCGTTCTCGTCTTTGTCGACTCTTTGCAATTCCGATTGGTAAAAGTTTCCTTTTATGTGCTCGTTTAAAAAATCAATCAGTCGGTACTATGGAATACCCTGACGTAGAAAGCATTTATGTATTTTTAAAATTTCGGAAGACCATTGTTGTTGATAAGCTATAGTGAAAGTTTGCTTCAAATGTGAAGTCTTACGAGACTTCGAATCTTTAATTTAAACAGTATTTTACTTTTGACTTTCGTATTTGTTTTAATCTGTTTCCTTGACTTTATATTAAGATACAAAAAGGTAAATATATCGGCTTTATTTGAATCGTTTACATCTTCTGGAGATATGCTGTTTAACGATCTGTGAGGTGTAGCGTTGTAATTCCCAACAAAATCTTGCAACTTGTCTATGTACTTATAAGTCCTATATTTTGTGAAATACCTGTACATCATCGTCTTGAGCGTCCTAATCAACCTCTTGGAATAATAAGCTTTTGTTTCATTCTGACTGGTAAAATAATGAACGTCATGTTCTTGAGACCATTTTCTCATCAATCCATTGTTTGTCTCGCCTACATTGTCACTTCGAATACGTTTTGGTACTCTACTTCTTTCAACGATTTTTTTTAAGTGCATTGAATACATCTCTGACCATTTTTGTTTTTACAGGTTCAACCCATAAGAAACGAGTGAACACGTCAGTGTCAACTAGAAGAAACGATAGCTTGAAATCTGCTTCGAAAGGGAGGAAACGTCTGCAAGATCTATATCGTTTTGCTCGTAGCGACCCAACACTTCTGACCGTGCTCGCTTAAATGAACGTCTTGGAGGCTTCTGTAAACTATAATCGTCGAGACTTTGGATGTATCGTCTAATTTTACAAAGACCTGGCGATTTCAATCCTTGTGATTTCAATATTTGATGTACTTTTGTGGGACTGAGTAAGGCACCGCCGTTCTTTAATTCATAATACACCGCATTTATGCGTCTCCTCTCCTCTTCTGCAATCTTTTATTTTAAATGAAACAATATAGTATTTTACAGCGTTTTGTTATTTAACCGATCCTCTTAACGAATCATGAACATGGTCATCTGACTGATTTCGTCTTTCCATTTGTCCGTTTTAGGCTCACTCATTCTCCATTCGGCGTTACATAACTGTGATTTGGAGGCATTCCTCACACTTCTTGGAATGCTT